ACAGAGGACACACTCTGGATCTGGTCATCACCTATGGCCTGACCACTAGTGTGTCCTCTGTTGTTGACCTGGCTGTGTCTGACCACTACTGTGTGTTTTTTAACATCACTGGTTTTATACACCGGGAGACCTCTGTGAGAACTGTGAGGAAGCGCCGTCTGACCCCTGAAGTGGCTGCAAATTTTATCGAAGTTTTAAATAAAAATCCCCCAGTGGTTTTACCTGCCCCTTGCGATTTTATCACTGACCATTTTAACAGTAGACTACGGTCAGCTCTGGATCTGGTTGCTCCACTCAAAACTAAAAACATCAAAACTAAGCTAAAACCCCCATGGAGAAATGAAGAGCTGAAAAAATCCAAGAGAGAGTGCAGGAGGGCAGAACGTAGATGGAGAAAAAACAAAACTACAATAAACTATCAATTATTTAGTGATCAACAACGGACTTACAACAACGCAATAAGAAACACAAGAAACCATTACTTTTCTACATTAATAACCAATAACAAAAATAATCCAAAAGTTCTTTTTTCAACCATCGACAACATTTTAAACCCTGATTTTAGCACGTTTTACTTAACGCCCACTGACTCTCTCTGTGAGCAGTTTGCAGACCACTTCATGGGTAAGATAAACACTATCAGATGTGATATTTTATCTTGTCAAAGCTCTGTTTTTAGTACATCTGAGTGTTTGTCTAGACCAGAGGAAACACTGGACAGTTTTGTCCTGGTTAATGCTGAGATGCTTGACAAAGTTTTCTCCTCAGTGAGGCCCACCACATGTCTTTTAGATCCGATTCCTACCCCATTTTTTAAGTCATTTTATGGATCTTTTAGGGATGAGCTTTTAACCATGATGAATTGCTCTCTTCAGACGGGGGTCTTTCCCTCTGCCTTCAAAACTGCAGTGGTGAGGCCCCTGCTGAAGAAGAGCAATTTAGATTTTAATGATTTTAACAACTACCGACCAGTGTCTAAACCTACCATTTTTTAAGCAAAATTTTAGAAAAACTTTGTTTTTATTCAACTAAATTATTTTTTTAGATGATCATAACATTTTGGAAAAATTTCAGTCTGGTTTTAGGGTGAACCACAGCACCGAGACCGCCTTGGCAAAGATTTTAAATGATTTTAGAATAAATTGTGATTCACAAAAGGTGACCGTGTTGGTTCTACTGGATCTGAGCGCTGCCTTTGACACAGTAGACCACACTATTCTTTTAACTCGCCTAAAAGACCTCGGCCTCTCCGGTGCTGTTCACAAATGGTTCACATCCTACCTCACAGACAGAACATTTATGGTGAGTGTAGACACATGCTCCTCCAGGGTCCATAAAATCACATGTGGTGTGCCCCAGGGCTCCATTTTAGGCCCTGTGCTTTTTAATTTGTACATGCTCCCTCTTGGTGGTGTCATCAGGAGACATGGAATCAACTTCCACAGCTACGCAGATGATACGCAGCTTTACATCTCCATGTCTCCTGATGACACCAGACCAATGGATGCTCTTTTTAACTGCATTCTAGATATCAAATCCTGGATGGCAGAAAACTTTCTCCAGCTTAACCAGGACAAAACTGAGGTTTTAGTCATTGGTCCTGAGGCCCAGAGAGAGAAACTTTTACCCAAACTACAAAGCACAGTCTTTTAACCCTTCTCCACAAGTGAAAAACCTGGGCGTCATTATTGACTCTGAGCTGACTTTTATTCCACACATTAAGAACATTACAAAAATTGGTTTCTATCACTTAAAAAACATAGCCAGAGTCCGCCCCATTCTCTCTCTGGCCAACACCGAGACGCTGATGCATGCTTTTATCACCAGTCGAATAGACTACTGTAATGCCCTGCTCTCTGGTCTTCCCAAAAAGACTATTTCAGGTTTACAATTACTACAAAATTCAGCAGCACGTGTCCTGACGAGGACCAGAGGGCGGGACCACATTACACCGGTTTTAAAATCACTGCATTGGCTCCCTGTGAGTTTCAGGATCGATTTTAAAGTTCTTTTACTGGTTTTTAAATGTCTTAATGGTCTTGGGCCTTCTTATCTTTCAGAACTCCTTTTACCTTACGAACCCTCGCGGACCCTGCGCTCCTCCGGCAGCAGGCTCCTGGTCATTCCCAAAGTCAGGACACACACTCACGGAGAGGCGTCTTTTCAGTACTGTGGCCCTCGTCTATGGAACTGCCTGCCGGAGGAGCTCAGGGCTGCAGAGAACGTTCATGTTTTTAAGAGTAGGCTCAAGACCCACCTTTTTAGCTTAGCTTTTGAATGAAATATCATATTTTTTACTTGTTTCTACTATACACATTTTAATTTATATTTATTTATTTTAGACTTATTTTTAGGATATGCAGTGTTTCCTCTGTAGGAGCCTCTGCATCAGGAGCAGAGGTCGGCTGTAGCTGTCGGGTCTGTCCCGTGGGCTCCTGGTGGAGAGTTGGAGCTTGGGCTTCATCTCTTCCCTGGCTCCTGTGGTGGTTCCTGGTGGTGGTGGACGTCTCTCTGCTCTGATGATGCTTTGTCAACTGGTTCGCCTGTATTCAGCCTCACATTTTACTATGTGTTGTTTTATGTATTTTAGCAGGTTAATGTGTATGTGTGTGTGTGGGGGGGGGTTTGGGTGTTTGGGTGTCTGTGATGTTTGGTTGTGTCGAGTTGGGCAGCTGTGGGGGTTGGGTTGGTGGGTGGGTGGAAATGTGGGATTGTTTTTAATCTGTGTAAAGCACTTTGTGTTACATTTTTGTATGAAAAGTGCTTTATAAATAAAGTTTGATTGATTGATTGATTGATCTTGTGATTATTCTTCAATTAATCATTTGGTTGTTCAGAAGGTGAAGGCTTCTTCTACTTCAGTCTCCCTCCAAAAGGGAGGGACAGTTTCATTTCAGTACAAACATGTCTTTCTGCAAGGAGAATTGTAAGTGTGGTTTTAACTTTATTACCACGGAATCATGCAGGTGACGTGCCACCTCCAGAAAATTCGATCCTGCACTATGAAAGGAAAATAAAGCATGATGGGTAATATGGTTTGTTAATGAATTGCTTAGCGAGCAAAGACCCAAAGTCAATGCCCTGCACCCAACCGTTCCTACAGTTCATATATACATACAATACATGTGCAAAATGTTTTCAATCTTCTGAAATAGTGAACATTTCAATGGAAATGGAAATTCATAATAAGACATGTAATCAACGCTCGCTCTGTGCCCAACCTTTAGTATCCAGATATTTACAACGACTTCATTCATTCAACATCGTCCTACACCACCTAAGAACTGAATTAAGGGGGGATTCCGTGCCGGTACACTGGCAAGAAAGACTTTTGGTATATATCATTTCATTTAGTGTAAATCCCTTCTTCATTTGTGTGGAGCTGGTCCCTCTCCAGAAATGAAATGTTGACTGCACAGACGATTGAACTCAGTGGCTCGGCCCGCTCTTTTTATGTCGCTCTCCACGTCTGTTTGGGATCTTTATCAGCCGGGATCTGATAGAAAGATACTTTGGCCTCTTGGCGAGCTACAACTCCAGGTTGGAGACCAATGCTCTACAAAATATCTACAGTACGTGCTTCAATAATGACAATATAACAGAAAGTGATATATTAGATGTTTGAGAACAATAAAACACAAAAGATTTCACCATCCCTGCTTTGCAAAAGTGCCAATCCAGTAATGAACCAGAATTAAAGTGGGACTAGACTAGTACCAGCTGGGTCTGAACCAAGACTAACCTAGAATTAAACTAGAACTTAACCAGGTCTAAAGATAAACTGGACAATGATTAATATAAACTAACACTAACACAGAACAAAAGCAGATCTAAAGCAGGATTTCCAAAAGTAGTAAAACAAGAGGAAATAGTTGAATATTTGGAAGTTGGGCTGTAAGGTGAGTCGATCTATGACTTGAACGATGAAACAACTTTATATATCATTCTAGATATAAATACAAACCAAAGTAAACTGGGGCCAAAACTTGTTCTAACTTTGAAGTAAGTTAGTCAATCACTAGAAATGTCAGTAGGGCTAAGTATTAATCTTGGCACTTGAATATCAGCGAGTAGTACTCAGTTACATCTACTCCATTTACTTGAGTCACGTTTTAATAAAACTGTACTTGTCAGATAAGTTCTCAGACACCATACATTATTCTTACATCCAGGGCAGCCGCGGGGTCTGAAAAGTCTTCAAAAGGTCTTCAATTTCATGTATTCAAATGAAAAGTGAAAGACAAATTGTACATGATCACACATTTCTATAGATGTAACTAACTTAATGATATAAACTCCAAAAAACATTTGATCATCTTTATCGGCAAAAATGTTATTAGAGAATTGAAGGCAGTTGTGATTTGAGCATTGTTAACCTACATACCTGCTAGCCTATTTTTTTTTTTCAGCTGTAATAAGAGTATGTTTTTGAATTGTTTAAATTAGGCTAATCATTGCTTTATATCTCAAAGAATATACCATTTTACATCCAAATTAGTTATCGGTGTATGATAACTAATTTGGATGTAAAATTGTATATTGGTAAAAGTACTGTAAAAATAACAGTACTTTTACTTGAGAAAAAGTTACTCTTCTCACTCTGACAAAAGCTTTACGTTGACAATATTAAATAATTAGAAAATTTGTGTTCCTTCCACCTCAAGTTACTCTTTGAAGGATAGGCTGGTAAATGGTAAATGGTCCTAAATATGTTTTACTCTTAGACTTGAGTGATTTTTTGGACTACTACTTTGTACTTCTACTTGACTAAAATTATTCAATATATTATTAAAGTAACGTTACTCTTACTTGAGCTGAAATTTAGGCCACTCTATCAGCAAATCTATGGTCTACCCACCTCTGATGCGCAGGAAGTCTGTATTTTGTATTTCACATTTGTAAACACATTTTACTTTGAAAACCGGAAGCAGCGTGATTCCACTTCAGGTTGTACAGTTTATTTGCTCAGTTTAGCACTGCCCAAAATATAGCCCAGAAGAGGATCGGCTAACAGGAGCGCCCACTGCCCCCAAACCAGTGCCTCTCTCGGAGTCACCGGCTCTTCACAGTAGTCGTCGCTGAGCCCCGGTTCGCGGAGATGACCGAGCTAAGGCACCGTGGAGCCAAAGACTGCGATCCGACCCTGGAGCAGCAAGCGTCCGAGGACAAGGTACGGGGGTCTGCTGCGTCGAAGCTAATGCTAACAGGCTAAACACGGGCTCATCCAACAGATAACCAGATCAAACTAGCATTACCTGGGAGATATAATACGCCATGTTGGTGTTTTGGTCCATTTATTGTTATTTTAGTGATTGCCACGTTACGAGATGTTAAATAGTTCGATTTTGAAGGCTTGTTACAAATTGTCCGCCAGACTTCAAGCGTTTAGGCGATGATTGGTCGAGGTAGTTTACGGGCTTCCTGTGTGTATTTCCGTTTGAAAACAAGACACGACACGCAGAAATCTTTTCAAATGTATAAAATACGACAATGAATTGTTTTGTGTTAACCAACCCGATATAAAATAAAGGTCTTAAACTATTTAGAAATACTATTAATTTATAAAAACGGGACACGTACTTTTATTTTTAGCTTATTGACTGTACATGGTGTGATTGCTTAGGCATGTTTGGAATGATAAGCTAATCAATTTAAAAAAGGGAGTTAACATCGTCACACACGTCACAGATGATTCATATGATCGTTTTATTCTGTATTCTATTTATATATTTGCATTTGTATTATGTATGTATGATCTTATCCCATACAATTTCACGATAGCTCAAACAATACTCAATGTTTGGTTTGATAGCCCTCTTGCCAACCTCAATAATACAGCTATTACTGCCCCTCAATTAAACTCAAGGGAGGAGAAGCTACCATTTGTACGTCATTATGTTTCTGTAGGGGGCGTGCAGACTGATGCTGATTATGGCTGTGGGGATTTATCTAGGACGAAAGGACGAGCAGAAAAGATAATTGGAAAAAGCACTAAGAGCAAATTTATGTGAAAGCAGATGCAGCCCAAAGCACAGACGAAATGATGGACGAATACAGTCACTGAGTAATGTGTAATAAACAAAGGCATATTGATGTTGTCTGACAATAATTTTGAAACTGGATGCCTGGAAATGAAATCATGGTAATTGCTCGCTCGGCAATTAGTTGTTTTTTTTCCATGAAAGTGTTGTCACAATACTACAATTGCAGTAGATTGCACTGAAGAGTAGACTCGAAACCCAATGCAGATTCTAATACCACAATGAAAATTAATAACACTCTTTATTTAGGCAATAGAATGTAATTTTTAAGATTAAATCATGGTACTTTCTTTTATATTACCATGCCATCTTATATCTATGTAATCCTTCAGTGATCCAGGCAGGTTCCATAGTGATCCATGGGTGTATACTAGTCTATATGCTCTACAAAAAATGCCACTATGTAAAACAATGCATATAATGTTATATATAATAACAGGAATAAGTGCTTGTATAGGGTAATTTATAAAATATGCATGGAAGTGAAATAAGGATTAAGTTCAAGTTTTTGTCATTCATAATGTCAGTTGTGGCAATGCTTAGTTAAAATGTTCTAGTGGCAAACAAAAATGTGATAAATTTGTTACCTTCACATGACTGTTGTGTTTAAGAGGAAGTCATAAAAATACTGAAATAATGTCACTGCTGTCACTGTCCCTATACTGACTTATTGTTCAATCTATGAAAGTTGGAACAATATTTTTTAGGGTTGCATACTTTTTCTTTGCACTACTGGAACATTTGTGGTAAATTTTCGATGATGCAATAAGATTTAAACCATAAAAGTTTGAATGAATAACTTTATGACTATGAAGTATTAAATGTTTCAGATTCTGCTGTTTATTTATTGCAGCTCATGGTGCAAGAATATTGTAGATTTAGAATAGTCTTGTGGTTTTAAGGAGCATTGTGTAAGGTCTATGGTGAAGGGCCATCACCTGCTTGTTTCTATGGATATGTCATTGCTCTGCCTGGAATATTCCACAGTATGATATTAAACAACTCTGTCTTACATTTGTTCAATTACAGGTAGTATATTGCTCAAAAATACACTGTGTAACTCTTCTGGTGGAGGGTCCGTCAAATGTTTTTACCCATAGAAATGCTACTGCTTTGTCTGGGATTCTTCACAGTATGGCATTAAACCTTTCTATCTTCATGTAGACCAAACAAGACCAAGCTACAGGTCAGATCGGTGGTGTGGCAACTCCGCTCAGTCAGAATGCTTGTTTTTTTCTGGGAATTTTTGAGCAATAAAACCAGATCTGTTTAATGTCGTACTGTGGAACATCCCAAGCAGAGCAATGACATTTCCATAGAAACAGGAAGGTGACGGACCCCCTCCCGAAAAATGTTACATAATGCACCTTTAATGTCTACTGGGTTATTTTGAATATTGTGTTGCCACTGGCTGTGAGGAAAGCACCAGAGTGAGGGGTGTTTTTTTATGGAAAGCGCCTATTTTTAACCTCATCCTGAATGACGGCCGCGTATCCATAGAAACCAGCGGCACAGAGCGAGAGAGGGAGGGAAGGCGAGCTGGCTCTAGCAGCTGTTTGGAGCTGGGCACACTGCTCTGTTTGTACACAAATAAAGAAAGACTATGTTGTGGAGCTGTTCTCAAGACACTTCACTAATTTCCATTTTAGATTCATTTCATTATATTCTGTATGGCTCATCTGTTTGAAGTCTCTCGCAATGTCATCATGAAAAACAAGCCTTTATCCCCCCCAGAGCACCTAGAATCAATAATGTTCAATACTAATTTGTTGTTTACTTTGAGTTTGAAACACCATTTCACCAACCCACCTTAGATTAGAGAAGACGTAAAGCAGTGTTTCCAACTATTTGCTCACTGACAATGCCAATAAAATGTATTTATTATTATAAAACTCCTTTATTATCAGACAATGCATGGGCTCTCATAGTGTATTCATTGTCTTACTTGTTGTCTAAAAGGTCTTGTAAAATATATCTGTTTAAACTACATACTTCTATTACATAAGAGATTCTAAGATTTGACTCTTAAACCATCATTGCATTTATGGCTGCAATAAAATCACAAACAACTAAATATTCTGTTGTATTCCTATTAAAACTGCTAACCCTGTAGTTTAGATTCATACAAACATGTTCTGAAATTTGAATCTTGTATTAGTTTGACAATTCTCCTGGACAGGCCTAAAATGTGATCTTTGGACTGAATAATAGGGATGGGACAAGATCTCGTGAGGCAAAATTGCCCCAAGATTGTGCATACATGCTGAAAATGATCTTGTCTTTTTTACCCCCTGTATTTTTACTACTGGATTGGATTAAAAAAGATTAACTAAATACTGGTGAGTTAAATTTTTTTGAGAAGCTGTAATTCTACAATGACAGCAAAAATATTAAATAAAGTAAATCAAAAATGGTGAGCCCAAAATTGGGAACTGGACTGCACAATTTATTTATTATAAAGAATGTGAAAATCTCGTCTTGCCTCATTCTCGTAGTTCCAGTCTCGTGCCTTGTGGAAATTGTGTACTGAATAATATTAAAACATTTCCCAAATTTAACTGCAATCCCAAAGTTTATCAATTTGTCAATATTTTTCCCAAATCATGTAACTCTAATATTATTTTTTTCTGATTTAAAATATGCCCGTGTAATCTAATACAAATGGCTGTATAAGAAAGAGCAGTTCTTTTCTTGAATCTTGGAGCTGTCACATGACTTACTTGTGGTCATCTGCTTGATACACTAGCTGAGGATTTACTTTGCTTTAGAATCAGTCCCAATTTGGTCATTCGTTGGTTTCAGAGGGGTCAGTGACTGGAGTGGGCAGCAGGGGTGAGGAGAGAGCCACGCTTTCACTAATGAGCTTTTGGTGTTTGACGATATCCATGTTTTGATGATCACAGTTGCCATGGCGAGGGAGACTCTGTGATTTGGGGTCAGGAGAGAACAGATGGCTGGGACAAGGCGACAATATGGACTGATACGATTTGGCAAAGTTTAAATCACACAGAAACCACCACATAGAGCAAGTGTTGACGATTGTAATAGATTTTTTTTCAGATTGTCGACATAAGGAATTAAATTTTTGCGATTATAAATGTGTTTTTTAGCCTATTTCCGATTTTACTCATTAGTCTGTTGTTTAAAGAGCCCATATTATGCCATTTTTAATCAGTGTTCTATGTTGTTTCCTCATCACAAACATACCTGGAGATGTGTTTTGTTTCATTCACACGTTTAACACACAAATCCTGCGGTTCTTCACTCAAACAGAAAACACTTTTCCACCTTGTGATGTCATGTGGTAATACAGGAAGTGCCCAACTGTTTTATAGACTCTTAACACTTCTCTAGAATCTTGTGGATCAATTCAGCTCTGATATTGCCAATCTCTACTGCACTGAAGGTAAAAGGTAGCTGTTAACTTGAAAACTACCACTGCACCAGTGTTGGGAGTAACGCGTTATAAAAGTAATGAATTACTCTAATGCATTGCTTTTTGCTGTAATGCAGTAATGTAAGGCATTACAGGGAAAAAAAATTTAATGTTTTACTCAGTACAAATGAAGTGGAACAGCAGAACTCCATGCTCCACGGGGAGAAGACCAGCTGACGCCCGATCGCCAAGTTCTAGTCCTGGTTTAGTCCTAGTTCAGTTCTGGTTTAGAACTGGTTTAGACCTAGTTTAAACCTAGTTTAGACCTAGTTTAGACCTGGTTTATTCCTGGTTCAGTTCTTGTTCAGTTCTCGTTTATACCTAGTTTAGTCCTGGTTTAGTCCTAGTTCAGTACTGGTTTAGACCTGGTTTAAACCTGGTTTAGACCTAGTTTAGTCCTGGTTTAAACCTAGTTTAGTCCTGGTTCAGTCCATATATGGCGCAAAAGTTCAGCATCTTCACAGTTATTTTGGTGAGAGTAACTCAAAAGTAATACAATAGTAATGTAATGCTTTACATTTTAAGTGAAGTAATATTGTAATGTAACAAATTATTTTGAAATGACAGTAACAAGTCATATAGTCAAGTCAAATAACACATTACAGCTTTAAAGTAACTTGCCCAACAGTGCACTACACCGACCATTGATCAGTGGATATCAAAAATTAGACAAGTTTATACAGTGGAACTGTTAACGGCTCAACGGCATGACATCACAAAGTGGAACAGAGCATTCTGAGCTTTGGAGATATAAACAGTTTAATAATAAAGTATTACTGAAACATGTGAATGGTACGAAACACAACTCCTGGTCTGTTTTTGAGGAGGTAACAATATTATAACATGACTTAAAGCTCACAAGAGTCCTTTTTAAACGATCTGATGCACTGGAAAGAAACTGGGATTGACACATGGGCACACAAAGACTGGGGCTGTCTAGATACTGGTATGAAATATTGACTAAATTTTCAATATTTAACCAGTACCGATCAATGGGAAGAGCCTCCAACCTCACAGATTTCCACTGTATCGTCCATCCGGCTCACATCTTGGTTCCAGAGACATTTCAGACCCAGTTTAGGTTTTGCTGGGGATTGATTTAGTTCTGTTTAGTACCAGTGTCCAGGCTGTAATCAATCAAATGTCATGTCATATTGTCTTTTGAATCAACTGATGCTTTGTAGCAGGGTTCAGACTTAAAGGTGCACGGTGTAACTTTTTGGTTGGGGGTCCGTCACCTGCTTGTTACTATGGATACGTGATTGCTCTACCTGGAATGTTCATTAAACAGCTCTACCTTACATTTATTGATTTTATAGCGATTTAGTGATTTTATAGCTCAAAAATACCTAGAAAAACTTCAATTGTGACATTCTGACTACAAACTGGGTTGCCTCTCCACAGATCTGACCTGTAACTTCTGGTTTGGTCTCCATGAAGATAAGAAGGTGTAATATCATACTGTGTAATAAAACAATAACTTCCCCATGGACAAAAGAGAAAAGTTACACAATGCACCTTTTTAAGAGGAAGAAATTGAAATCTCTTTGTGTTAAAAAGAGAGATTAAAAGTCTGTATCTTTATGGTCATGAAATCTAGATCAATCAATAATTAAAATCAACCATGATGCCCTACCAGTCCCTTGTTATAGCTATCCCAAGTTTTTCCAACATCTTATACAAAATGCACCGCTCCAAATGTCTATAAGCCTTGTATCTTTTCTTGTGTTGTTCTCAGGGCTCAGACAGCGAGCTGAAGGCAGAGAAGGATGGAGTGTCTGACAGTGAGTCTAAGCCCGATACGGGGGTCCCAGAGGTGCCCGTGTCCGCCGATGACACCCCCGAAGTCCTCAACAAGGCCCTGTCCGGTCTCTCATCAAGGTACAAGGAGCTTTGGCATCACACAATGATCATAGCATTATTTTGTCAAGGAATACATCAACAAACCACAAATTACAAAATGAATAGATCTAAGAGAGAAAAGAATAGTAAAAGGATTAAATTTTTTTTTAAGTTTCACAATGGGGAATTTACTACAAATATTCAAATAGAGGAAAACTTGCTTGCAGTTTCATCTAAAATATCATTTTCACTTTCATTGCCAGTTTCAAAGTATTATTAAAGAAGCTGTAACTGTTTTTTAATTAATTTTTAACAATTTTTTTTTAATTTTTATATAGTAAATATATAGTTGTTTTTTTATATTCTGTAAAAGCAGCTCTCAGGGTCAAAATGATTAGCTTGATTCATCAACCGGTTTCACCTCATAGAAACTGTCTGACCTTGCAGCATTAGGATTTGTTCGCTTGATGGTAGGCGGGTACTTTTTCATTTAACCAATCGCTGCTATTTGGTTGTGACATATGTAATGCGCTGCTAACGGGGCTAACTGGTATATTAAGCTTTTCCCAAATCCCGTAGGAAGAAGGACAATAATGTCTTTCCCCATGATAAAATTCACCAAACATTCTCTTTGTTCTGGCTTTAAATCCTTGATCTCGGGAATCGTTGCCAACACAGAATGTCTGGCTTCGTCTACATCCATCTCGACCGTTTTGTTTACTGTTGTACTGTACCACAAAAGGGACCCAGACATGGCTTCACAGCTCACTGGACACTGGAGAGAAAGAAATTGAGTGGAGGCACAAGGTAGCGCCAGCCTGGCTACAAAATAACACCACTGTTTGCTACTTGTAAAGTACTTTCACTGTCTGCAAACCAGAAAGTAAGGCTGGTGCTCTTTTAGCAAGCTATTTGTTGTTAGCATCACAATGACAACAAAATGTATTTGTGAAAAGCAACGGATGGTAGAGAGGTGTTACCAAAGTGAGAAATACATTAAAACTGAACACAGTTCTGTCCTGTTTTCATGTTTTTAAAGACCCAAACCAGGACCAGCACCTTTTAAAAGAGTTAAGAGAGTTTAAAAACTTAAGCATCTATGGTAACTCTAAAATATAACATGTTGTTTAGAATCTACATCTAAAATTCTGGTGATCACAATTTTAAAGGTGCATTGTGTAACTTATCTGGTGGAAAGGCCCATGGATTGTATTATTTACTGACTAGAATTTTGAGCCTTCATAAGTTTTCCAGTCTCATTATGTTGTAGAAACTTAGATGTAGCCCCACATGTAAATTTGTAACTCAAGAAAGGTCATGTAAACATAACTGATTTGATTCTGTTTAACTTCTATCCGTTACTCTTTCCCCAGGTGGAAGAACTGGTGGGTGAGAGGCATCCTGACACTGGCCATGATCTCCTTCTTCTTCTTCATCATATACCTGGGGCCTATGGTGCTCATGATGATCGTAAGTATCCACATGACTGCTGCTGCTGCTTCTGTGTTACAGACTTTAGCACCACACAGAAGAGAATCTGTGAGTGAATTATGCTCCAAGGAAATGTGTCATGTGTCAACAGATGTAATCACCTCACCAACCACTTTGTAATTAGTTTATACTGTACAGCTTTAACCATAAGTCACGCGTGAGACCAGTTTAACTGTGTCAATATTATTAATGTCATTGTCTGTGAATGCAAAATGAAATGCCGAATTTTAGGATTAAGTTCATAATTACAGGAGTGGTCAGTGTTAGGCCTTTACCTTTTATTAAATTCATAACTAATTAAAAGTAATTTGAAAACTCCATTACAAGTTAATATGCTTCTTAATTTAGGGATTGTAGGAGTTTGTGCATGTAACTTATCACTTTGCCTTGAATGTTTTACAAAGCATTAACATTCCCATAGAGACAAGAGGGTGGCGTGTCTCCTCTTGAAAAGCTTATAAAGAAAAGTTATTTGACAGAAGTCTTTTTTTCTGCAGGTCCTGTGTGTCCAGATCAAGTGCTTCCATGAGATCATCACAATCGGATACAGTGTGTACCACTCCTACCACCTACCCTGGTTCAGGACACTCAGCTGGTGCGGCCAATCACCTCTTTCCATCCTAAATATACACAAAATGTTTTTTCTGACTTTACTTGTGTTTAAATTCTTACTGTTTCCTCTCCATGTTCTACTTTGTTGCAGACATCCAGAGGTTTGTTTGTTGGTCTAACACTAGATTTAGACGCTAGTTTTGACCCGGTCTTGATCCAATCTACAAAATAGGAAACTGTAATTGATTTTAGCTGTAGCTTTGATTACCATAGCGTGCCTTGAATCTGAAAAAGCTGGGATATTTGCAACTTTATAATCACATCATAATTAACAAAAATTGCCATATACACTATCAGGCAAAAGTTTGAAGACACCATCTCATTCAATGTTTTTTTTTCTTTGTTTACCACTTTCTAAATTGTATATACATATGGAAGACATCAAAAAATATGATGCAAGATATTTGTTTTATGTAGTAAACCCTTGGTCTTCTCTCAGTGAATTTTTTGACAAAATCTCCTGAAATGGTTTTCACTTCACAGGTGTTCCATGCAGAGTGCACAGCAATGATCAAAGCAAAGGGTGGCTATTTTTGAAAAAATTAAAAGAAGTTTGGAGCTATTTTGACATTTTTAGTTTACTAAATTCCATATACAGTATGTTCATTTACAATTTTGATACTTTGGGCGAGAATCTACAATGTAAATAGTCACGAGAAGAAAGAAAAAACATGATTGAAAAAGTGTCTCCAAACTTTTCTGTAGTAGTGTAGTTTTGTGGAATAATTTGACCACAAAAAGTTGGCAATTAATTTAAATTCCTTATTTAAAACTCCAGAAAAATGTGTGCAGAGAATGAGCTAACTATTCCAACTTAAAGGTGCATTCTGTAACTTTTTGGTTGGAGGTCCGTCACTTGCTTGTTTCCATGGATATATATCACTGCTCAGTCTGGAATTTATGTACAGTATGACAATAAACCGCTCTACCTTATTCAATTACAGGTGGATTTATACCTAAAAATACTTCAAAAAACAGATATACTGACTGTGAGTGGGTTGCCTCTCCACAGATCTGACCTGTAACTTGATCTGGTTTGGTCTCCATGAAGATAGAAAGGTTTAATACCAACATCTCCATGGAGCATAGCATTTGACGGACCGTCCACCAGAAAAGTTACACAATGCACCTTTTAACCGACAATATTGTGAAACTCAAATATTGTATTGTATCCTGACATTTCCCAGGTTTTTCAGCAGGTGTAGTGATCCTGATAAGTTGCAATAATGATGAGACCTGCCTGTTCTTGCTCCTCTGTTTGCCCTCAGGTACTTCTTGTTGTGTGTGAACTACTTCTTCTATGGGGAGACTGTCACTGACTACTTCTTCACACTGGTGCAGAGAGAGGAGCCACTGCGTATACTCAGCAAATACCATCGCTTCATATCATTCGCCCTCTACCTCAGTGGTATAAAAGAAATTAGTTTTTATTTAAATTTTTTTCAGAATACCATACTATAATCTTGTACATGCACCTTAGTTTAGAACATTACTCATTCCTACTCGGTCACAGCGACTTATAGCCACACCTTCCCTGGGACTAACTGACTAATATGTAGTTGCTTTTCTGCACCAATTTACTGCCATTCACACATTGCAAAAGGAAATCTTATGAATTAAAGGATACCTATCATGCAAAATAGATTTTAATCATGTTAGAGCTGTTCTCCCCTCTGGAAGTTGTATTTGTGCTTGTTTGAGTAAACTTTAATAATTAATTTTTATGACACCATATCCCTGATCATGCCCTGTGTTCACCACCACCGGCGTACGCCCTCTGTGACATACTAACTTTGTTCTACAATTTTATTTTGTCAATCAGTGATACGTGTGGCATTCGGCAGTGTAGTGTAGTAATTTTGGTACGAATGGGGAAAAAAAATTGCTGCCTGCCAGTGTGATGCAGATATCCATCGAGTTGCCAGTGTTGTGGATCTTTTGGTGATATGTCACATGGGGTGATGTGGGCGTGGCCCTGCAAGGACCCAACTTTAATAAGACAATAATTTAGTTTTAAACAAGGTATCCATGTTTCAGATTATTAAATTATTCCCAAGGTACATATGAGGCACAGCGGATATGTCAGCACGTTTGAGCGTGAGTGTAGCAATAAGTGCGTCTGTCTGCAGAGATTTTCTATGTGTGTGGTTTGAGCCATGTACACACCAGCCCCAGATTCGTAACACCGTCTCTTGTTTGTGTTGATGTTTAGGGCGACGCACCACATCTTTCTTAATGGTAGTCTGTGAACTATTTCTTTAATTAAATCATTTTAGATGACTATTAGATTTGAAATGTATAAATAATAACATAATGATCCATTTGTACATTTGAAGTATATAGCAGGCTCCAGCACAGTATGTGATCTGTAAAGGTTCTATATGACACAAAACTGACTCTTGTGAGCTTTAAACCATGTTACAATGTTGTTACCTCATTGCAAACATACCTGGAGTTGTGTTTAGTTTCATTCACATGTTTTAGTCATCAAATATTATTAGTCTCCAAAGCTCAAAATGTTCAGTTGCACCTTATGATGTCATGTAGTGGTAAGTTAACAGCTGCCTTTCACCTTTTTTTCAGTAGAGATGGGCAATTCCCGGTCTGAAATTATCCCAGTGATTCTAGTGGAGATATGAGTCTTTAAAACAGTGAAGCAGTTACTGTATTACTGCATGACACCACAAGGTGGAACAGAATGTTTTCTGTTTGGGAGAAGAACTCAGCTATGCAGTATTTGTGTAAACGTGTGTGCTAAACACACCTCCATGTATGATTGTGATGAGGAAACTAAATTATAACATAGATCATAAAATAGTGTAATATGTGCCCTCTAAATTTTCTTTTGCAATGGAACCTACCTGGACGACTAAGGCATTACTCAGCCGCTATTCACACATTTACACCAATACACTCACATTTAAGTACGATGAATGGAACAGTCAAACGTTACAAATCGTTATAAATCATCATTTCAAATAGGAATGTGCAATCAATTTGAATCAAAACACAAATTGTAATTGTCAATTATCAGCTTTGGTCCCTTTTTAATGGAGAGATCTATGGCCAATTATTTGTCAGTAAAAGCATTTGGTTTGGAGAAGAGTCCAGACCCAGGAACGATAAATAAATGTTAAAATTGTCTTTGTTTTAAATATACATTTTAAAAAAGATCAGTACAAGGAAAATTGGAGAAAAGGAGATTTGTTTTTTGTAGAAAACCTATTGCCCCCATCTTACATTGGCTAACACAGAGCCTGTTGAGTCCATATAGCTAATGGCGCATGAATAATTGATGTGTTTTACTTCAAACCAAAGCAAAAAGCATTAAACATTACCCTGAATACTTTCCCTATTTGCATTCATGTTTTACTGGAAACAGTCTTTCTACTTATATCAGGTTTGTGACATGAATGACGCATCGCAACAGTGGAAGACAAAGAATCCAGTGTGCCTTCAGTTACATCTCATTTATTTACTGTGATTTGACTGCCAGACCACATAAAATGCTCTAGTGAGTGGATTTGAGGACACAGAATCAGCACTGAGTCAAGGGCCCACATTGCACTGTTTTCTGATATGTTATAAATGAATTTTGTGTCCTCATCACAAACAGACCTGGAGCTGTTTTTATTTTATTCACACATGTTTAACACACAAACCCTGCAAATTTAGGAATTCTTCTCTCAAACAAAAAACCACCTTGTGATGTCATGTGGTAATACAGGAAGTGCTTCACATTCTAAGGAATGTGTATCGAGTTTAAAAACAAGTCTAAACACCAATGTACTGAACTAATGGTAAAAGGTGCGGTTAACTACTAAACTACCACTTTGTGACATCACAAAGTGGAACAGAGTATTTTGAGCTTTGGAGAAGTAAACAGACTATTTACACATCTCCAGGTATGTTTTTGAGCAGGTATTTAAAACATGGCTCACGAGAATCAATTTTGTGTAATATAGGACAACTTAAAGTGGAACTAAATGTCCATTCCTTGTCAAAGCCTGATCCCGTTAGATCTCAGAAGCTAAGCAAGGCCAGGCCTGGTTAGTACTTGGATGGGAGACCACTGGGAAAATCAGGTGCCACAAACTGTCCTTATGTTTTTAGGCAAGACACTTCACCTCACCCACTTTGCCTAGTATGAAAATGATGCGTGCATGACTGTTGGTGGTGGTCGGAGGGGCTGATGGTGCAGATTAGCAGCCTTGCTTCCGTCAGTCTGCCCCTACAATAGAAATTTACCACCATCACCGAGTGTGGAGTGAATGAATAATGCTCTGTAAAGCGTAAGCGTCCAGAAAAGCCCTGCATAAAACTGATGTATTATTATTATTATTATTATAAACAATTATAAACACTGAATCCACTTTTTTGCTAGTGTAAATTGTGTTTTAACAGCATTACCTGCTGTCTGTAGTCATCTTTTGGCAACTTTAATGCAAACTAGGTAAATTTGCAGCTTTCAGGTCAAAAATGTTTAAATCTAAATATGTGCTGCTCAGTGACTTTTTCTGATTTCCAATACTTTGTCACACTAACACTAACGTATATTAAACAGTTTAATAGTAACATTATCGCAAAACAAAACACCCTTAGCTAATATCACACCTTTTTCTCATATTATGCATTTAGTTGGGTTTGTATAACAGTAGTCGTTCACATTACCCTGTGACCTACTTTGTTTCAAAACAGCTTCTTGAGAATCATTTTTTTTTACCTTGAATGGTCTGAGAGGGTGAGAAATTCCTGAGTTTACTACTGCTTTTTATAGAAACAAGAGGGAAGTTATACTGTACCATCTTAGGTCATGGACATATCTGTTGTTTATGCAGAAGTTGAGTCATTGCCATTTGAAGTACAGAGACCTTAGTGCAGTTACAGTTAGATAAAGGTTCACTATGTAACTTTTCTGCAGTGTTTCATAATATGGCATCAAAGTTATATATTTTGCATTTGTTAAATTACTTGAGTTTGTTCATTCTTATTGCAAGCAGGGTCACCGCTCCACAGGTAAAGGGTAGCTGTAATCTACCACTATATGACATCACAAGGTGGAACAGAGAATTTTGAGCTTTGGAGATGTAGACAGACTAATAATAAAGCATTACTCAGGTATGTTTTGAGGAGGTAACAACATTATAACATTTCTTAAAGCTCACATGAGTCAGTTTTGTGTAATATAGGACATTTATAAGTCTAAAGTCATACTGCAAAAAATGTCCAGGGAGGGTTTTTTTGTGGGTTTATGTATGTGTGTCATCAGGAAGTCAAGAAAATAAAGTTGTGGCTTTTCAACTATCTATTCTAATTTAAGGCACTGTTTCCTTTAGCCGTGGTAGTGGATTTTGTGCTGGCGCCAAACAGGATGTGGTGGCAACTGAAGTCACTTTCGTCGTCTGTTCACATCACTCATTTAAACTGCTGCCACTATTTGCTTATATGTGCAGAAAAATATTACACTTAAGACTATTTAAATAACTAACCAAAAACAGAGCATATTTTCTAGTGTAGTCTCCTTTGTAGATTTAGTTAAAGTTGCATTGTGTAACTTTTCTGGTGGAGGGTCCCTCACCTGCTTGTTTCTTTAGATATGTCATTGCTTTGCCTGAAATGTTCCACAGTGTGTACACATTAAACAGCTCTACCTTACATTTATTCAATTACAGCTGGTTTTATAGATCCAAAATACCTAGAAAAACAGCAGGGATTCAGACAGTGAGCAGGGTCGCTTCTCCGCAGATTTGACCTATAACTTGGTCTGGTTTAGTCTCCATGATGATAGTTTTAATGCCATATTGTGAAACATTCCAGACAAAGCAGTAACATCTCCATGGAGAAAAGCATACCATCAGAAAAGTTACACAATGCACCTTTAAGTTTGATTCACTTATTAAACCATTTCCATTTTTGTTACAATTTCTCTGTATGTTTTTATTTGGCTCAGCAATGTCTTTTCCTGTCTTATGTTCAATTTTTGATTTTACTATTAGTATTCATTTCCTCAACACAAACCATATAGAATTTTGATCAGTGCCATTTACTGTATTTTCCACACTATTGGGCGCACTCTTAAGTCTCCAATGCCATCAAAAAATGACTGCACGCCCCGCAGTCCAGACCCAGCACGACTTCAGTAAACTACAAACCCGCACCAACCGCAGCACACGCAAACACGCATGGAGCAGACAGCGACCGCGCAGTGAAAAACACCCACAGCCACACTCATCACTCCACGCGGACGAGGAACAGAACGGAGGAACGAACCGAAAAAGCGAGTGCAATGTGCCACTTCTAGACACAACTGAACAACTGAGTCACTGCGAACACACCAACAATCCAGCGGTCCCAGACAGCACCCTCCCTACACGCCACCACTGAACAAAGCCCAGAGTCACCGTGAACGCGCCAAACAAACAAAACCACTCACCCATCCAACTGTTGTGTTTCATTTAAAGTCCAATGCGGTTTATTTGTGAAGAAAGTTTGAAAATAGACCATGTAGTGATAGTGCGCCTTATAATCCACAGTGCCCTATAGTGCGGAAAATACGGTAATCAAAAACAAGTGCTTTTTTTTTTCACCAAAATCTGAATTCTTTTCAGCATTAAATAGTAGTACTTTCTTTTACATTACAGTGCTGTTCAGGTAGGTTCCATAGTGGCTACTCAGGGTTTAATTTTCATCCTGTAAATGTGAAGTTTTAGTTTTGACTCCTGCTCAAATGAGGATCTATGTTTTGATACTAGTTTTAATATCCATTAGTATCAGATTATACTCTTAGCTTTATTTATTTTGTTTTATTTTTTGCGTATCGTTGACTAGGGATCTGACAGTAACCGAAATATCGTGACATTGTATCCTCAAAGTTCTCACAATAATATCGTGCACTATCACAATATATCGAATTACAAGTCTCTTTGCTTAAATGAAGAGATATGCTGCAGCAATAGCTTAAAAAAACAGAGGGAACTACATAGATCATGATTCTTTGCTCCATTTCAGTGAAGACTACTTGAAGAAATAACAGTTCTAAGCATTTTTAAGTCTTAGCTCTTTGGATTAAGTCTTATCAAGGCATTTTAAGAGAAAAAAGTAATGTATTTACAGATTTTTCAGCCAAATATCATACAATGAAATTGTGAAAATATCGTACTGATAGATTTGGATATTGTTACATCCCTAATCATGAACCTTCTCACCATATCTTGAGCCTTCCCAAGATATCGCAATAAATATCGTACCATGAGGTTCATACCGTGACGATATCGTATCGTGAGACTTGGATATCGTTACACCCCTATCATTGACCATTAGAAATGACTTAATCTCAGTATCTGTTAACATTTTTATCAATTGCACAGTCCTACTTCTTGACCAAGTTTGCCCTTTGTAGTATCCAGTCTTTTATACTCCTTTCCGCTTTGCTCATTAAGTAAACAGATCTATCAGCACTGCCTTTGTTGTATTTACACAGTTGGCTGTTTAAACACTGACCATATTGTCTTTGTGTCTCCGCAGGTTTCTGTATGTTTGTGCTCAGTCTGGTGAAGAAACACTACCGCCTGCAGTTCTACATGGTACATTTGCTCTGGATTTTATTTGCCAACTCAAATTGAAATTGCACACATAATTCTCCTTCGAAATCTCTTATGTATAAAACTTGTTCTCCCTGTAGTTTAGACCTCTACGAACATGTTCTGAAATGCATGGATATTAGTTTCAGCTCATATTTCAGTCAAATGTGAAATGAGCTGTAACTGATTTTTATTGATTTTGTTCATTTTAAACGATTTGCAGTGGTCCAAAGTTATTCCTCACTTTTTCTAACTCCTTCTTAATCGTCCAAGACAAGTTTATAAGCCCTTTTCACAACTGTTAGTGGGGTAAAGGAGAGGCAGACTTTCACCATCACACTAATGCGAACAACAACTAGCATGCTAACAGAACACCAGCTTTACTTCTTGGTTCGCAGATGCAGTCTCATTTTCTCCTTAAGTGCTGCTTTTACAAATTTTACTTTATTAAATCAAAATCCTGAACATGTTTTAAAGGTGCATCGTGTAACTTTTCTGATTGGAGCGTCCCTCACCTGCTTGTTTCTATGGAAATGTCATTGCTCTGCCTAGAATGTTCCACAGTATGACATTAAACATCTCTACTTTACATTTATTCAATTACAGGTGGATTTATAGCTCAAAAATACATACATGAAAACATACATAAAAACAGGCATTCTGACTGTGAGCAGGGTCGCCTTTCCACAGATCTGACCTGTAACTTGGTCTGGTTTAGTCTCCATGGAGACAGAAAGGTTTAATGCCAAAAGAGAAATGCATTTGATGGTTGCTCCATCAGAAAAGTTACACAATGCATCTTTTTAAAATAAGTTAATAGTAAGATTCTGTTCAAATGTCTTATTATGTTTTAAATTCTGTATTTTTGCTTTTTTTTTTTCATTCAAAGTTAAAATCTTATCAAAGTTAATTCTAATCTACAGCCCAAGCATTTAAAAGTGAGAGTGACATGTGATCTGAGTTGTTTATTTCTGTTTTTCTTTTGTCCACAGTTCGGTTGGACTCACGTGACTCTGCTGATTGTGGTCACTCAGTCTCACCTCATCATTCACAACTTGTTTGAAGGCATGATCTGGTAAGCCAACACAAACAAATGTGTAAACACTTGTAAGGCTCTACAAACCTGCAAAAGAAAAACTCACTTTTCATGATACTAAAACAATAACCATTGAGGCATGTGAAAAAGAAGAAAGAGATTCACACTGCAGTTCTCTGAAGCTCTCAAATTTTTATTGCAGTGACACCACTATGTGATGTTTTGGGTCAAGCCCTTCTTCAGTGAAATAAACATTTGGGAGCTTCACAAAATGGCAGTGCGTATCTTTCTTCTTTTGCAAAATTTTTGTCTTTGGACCTAGCACACGGTTGCAATTTTTTTTTTGGATGTGCATGTCTCTATCTAACAGCTACACAGTGAAGGAAATATTATAAAACAAGTAAAAGCTACGGTTATCAAAAGTATCAAAAATCAAATATTAAAACTGATATATATATATTATATACATTTGAGCAGGTGTCCATCTAAGAAAGTTACATTCACAGGACATAAATGAAGCTTTCCTGAAGCTTTATAATGATCTTGAGCTGTATCAGAACAAGTATAAGAGCACGTAGACTACCGTATTTTCCGCACTATAGGGCGCGCTCATAAGTCTCCAACCCCATCAAAAACCGAATACGCGGCCCGCAATCCAGAGTGCCCTATACTCGAATCCACTCGGGTGTCCCAGCAAGACTTCAGTAAACTACAAAACTGCACTACCCGCAGAGCACGCAAACACACACGGAGCAGACAGCGATGTGCTGCGAAAAACACCCACAGACACACTCATCACTCCACGCCGACGAGGAATGGAATGGAGGAACACGCCGACAATCCGTTGGTCCCAGACAGCACCCTCCCTACACGCCACAATTGAACAAAGCCCAGAGTCACCGTGAACACGCCAAACACAGTCCAACTGATCCATCGAACTGTTGTGTTTTGCTTAAAGTCCGGTGCGGTTTATTTGTGAAAAAAGTTCGAAAATAGACCATTTAATGACAGTGCGTCTTATAATCCAGAGTGCCCTGTAGTGCGGAAAATACGGTAGTATACACCCACGGACCACTACTGTATAAGAGCACATGGTAATACAGAAGAAAGTGGTATTATTTAATGCTGAAAATCACATTCTGTTTTTTAAAGAATCATTGTGGTATCAGAATTGGTATCTGGTATCAAGTATTGAGCCTATTCCTTAGTACTGAAATCAAGTTTGAGGTTTTAATACTGTGACAACACTAGTAAAAGCTTAAAAAAAGCGAGCACACACACACACAGATACATACATTGGTATCCATCTAAATCTATGCCTCCATGTTTCCAAAGGTTCATTGTGCCGATCTCCAGCGTGATCTGCAATGACATAATGGCCTATATGTTTGGATTTTTCTTTGGTCGTACGCCTCTCATCAAGGTTTGTTATAATTTTAGTAACAATTATATATATATTTTGTTCTCATTTGGAACAATATTAACAGATATGTCTTGTGTTCTGCAGCTTTCTCCTAAAAAAACCTGGGAAGGATTCATTGGAGGATTATTTTCTACCATTGTGTTCTGTGCTTTGGTAAGACTTTTCATCCATATACTGCTTAAAGATGCACTATGTAACCTCTTTGGTGGAGAGCCTGCTACTTGCTTGTCACCATGGAAATTTGATCACTTTTCCTGGACTGTACTGCAGTATAGTATTAAATATTAAACTGATCTTATAGGTGTTTTATTCCTTAAAAATATCTTGAGAAACACCTCTTTATAGAGTAGATCTCTCCTGTAACTTGGTGTCTTGTTAAAGATAGGCAAGTTTAATGCTATTGTCTGGAACATTCCCTTAGAAAAATGTTATAGTACAGCTTTAAGTTTCATTTGTTAAGATTTTAGTAATTATTAGGGATATAATGATATCCAAATCTCACTTTATGATATTTATTGGAATATTTTGAAGAGGCTGATAGAATTGTAGATGGGACACTTTTTTGCTTTTAAAATACCTTAACAAAATTTTGGTGTGAATTATTTCGATCATAATCCCAAGAATTCAAGTAAAAAACATATCTCTTCATGTTGTCTGCACTGAAATTAATCATGGGATATGTAGTTTCTGATGTTTATAAGCAAAGAGACTTGTAAGTTGATATATTGTCACAGTCCATGATATTATTGTGAGACTTTTGATGATACGATATCACAATATTTCAGTTATTGTTACATCCCTAATATTTATTTTCAATTGCTTATTATCACCAAGTTTTATAGTACAGAAAGCACCAGTATTCGATCAAAATTTATTTTTAAATGTGTTTTTAATGGAGAAACTTAAACATTTTAGTTTTAACTGGTCCAGCCCACATTAGGAATAATTATTGACTAGTTGAAAAAAAATCTAAACCGACTTGTTTACTCCTGAAACTGTTGTCAGATGCATTTTTTTGCAGCAGTATATAACAGTAGATAGGCAAGATATGCATAACAACAAAGTTAATGAAAGGTGGTTTTAAAGAGCTGGGGTTTCAGTGCTATTTACTTTCTACCAACAAGGAGTAAAATACATATACATTAAACGCTACACTTGCTACAAAAGCAAGTGCCACAGGTCAAATGCCATATTTTGTTGTTGCTCACTCTCTTGTTTCTCCTCCACAGCTGTCGTATGTGATGGCGGGGTACAGGTACTTCGTGTGTCCCGTGGAGTTTAATAATGACCTGAACAGTTTCCAGGTGGACTGTGAGCCTTCAGAGCTGTTCCAGTTACATGACTACGCTCTGCCCTCCGTCCTCGAGTCTGTCACTGGATGGGTAAACAGCATTTCTATGTTTTCATGTCCAATACTGAATTAACTGCAATGCCTACAGTAAAACAGCAAAAGTTACCAGTTTGATTATTGAAATAGTGATTGTCCATAGAATTGAAGTGAGGATACCTGTTACCCCCAGACCTTGCTCCTCCTCCCCCCTCACTCTCCTCTTTAGTCCTCCATGTACTGCCTACTTTAGAAGCTTTATTTGAAGTGCATGTGGGTGGAGTTTAGGCTTTTAGTCCAACTTTAATATAAGGATAAAATGCGTTTTTTCTTATTTGATCATATTTTTATACAAATATCTCACTAGAAGTAGGGATGCCCCGATACCAATACTGGTATCGAATATTGGTGCAGAGCCGGAAAAATTGCAGTATTTCAAAGTTCAAAAAAGTTTATTGTCAGTTTTTCCATACAAAGATCGTACAAAACACATACAAAGAATCAAAATTGTGTTTCTCACTATCCTAATAAGTTAATAATAAGGCACCAGACAGTCTTTTTTGGGGTATCGGTTTCATATCAGTTCCATGATATTGGTTCAGTGTCGATATCCTGGTTTTCCTCTTTACTGACTGATGTAGGCCTAGGACGTCTCATGGAGTGTGAACTTTAAGTCATACAAAGCTGTTCAGTAGTTACTTGCAAGAATCAGCACAGTTACATAACACAATCATATATATTTTGTCAAATGTTAACTCTATTTGGAGAAAAAAAAAGCCAATTTTTAGTCTCTACACCTGTATTGGTTAATATCAGACATCAGCAGATACTTGAAGACATAGTATCTATTAGTATCGGAACTGACAAACCTGGATCAAACCTCTGACCAAAAGCATAGATGATGTCCAAAAATATAAACCTGGGCTGCTAATTTGAATTTGGGTGTACTAATACTTGATTTTTTGCCCTGAAAAACTGTCAGGATATTAAAAATCTAAAAACACAATAAATAAAGAACAATTCAAGTGCAGTTTTTACATGTAAAACTTGAATAGGCCTGGCCCTAGGTTTAAAACTTTTATAATGATATTTTGGTCCTGTGAGTAAAAAGGCTTGGACTCCTCTAATGTAGACCAACTAACTAAACAATGCTAAATAATATATATATTTTTTTCTATCAGAAAGACATTTTATTGACAATGAATTGAATAAATTCTTGTCTCCACAGAGCACAGTGAGGCTCTATCCATTCCAGATCCACAGCATCGCCCTGTCCTCCTTCGCCTCCATCGTGGGACCCTTCGGAGGATTCTTTGCCAGCGGCTTCAAGAGGGCCTTCAAAATCAAGGTAATGTGAAAAGTCGACTATGGGATTATACTTTAAATGTTAACCATGTAACTTTTCTGATTGGGTGTGTCTCAACTGCTTGTTTCTATGGATGTGTCACCATAGAGTCCCTTTAATTCTTGCGTTCCTGTCTCTGTTTTCAGGACTTTGCCAACACGATTCCCGGGCACGGAGGAATCATGGATAGGTTCGACTGCCAGTATCTGATGGCCACTTTTGTCAATGTTTACATCGCCAGCTTCATCAGGTACAGCTCTGCGCTCACGTTTCAGTGACAACAAGTTTTACATTTGAGTCAGTGTTGTAACAGAACATGTTAAGATTTACATTTATCTACAAATAAAATATTGTCAGCAAGGTTCTTATAACAATCTGTATAAAACTCACCTTTTGGTTAACACCCCTAAAATGTCTGAAAAGCACTGGATTCTAAGCAATTCAAGTACTTTTAATTTTCAGTGCTTCTGGGTGTGTTGGGATTTGCAGAATTTTTAAAAATCTGGATTCTTGAAAGACTGCATTTTAATCACAACCACAATACTTAATTCATTAAAAAAAATGTGTAGTTTTCTAATTTATTTACGTTGCATTACAGGATTACAACATAAAACAATGGCTATTAGCTATTGAAAAAGAGATGCACCAGTCCAGCTTTAAGTATTTGCAGATACCTGATCCCAATGGAGGAGACTGAAAACAGCTTTTATTTCCTTTAAACACAAACAGTGGATGATTAAGAAAAAACAACCCAACTGTTATTCGTGTAACCATTATTCATCATTTAAAGTAGCTACAGAACAGCTTTGTAAAAATAGTTTAAAGGGACAGTTTGGAATTTTGAGCATAGGGCCTCATTTCCTAGTGAGCCAGAGTATTAGCCTGCCAATAAAACAGTTTTACCCACTCCACAAAACACCTGAAGAAAATCCGTTATTACGCCAGACTGTCGATGTAAATGTCTGTTTTTAATAGAATAATGTTTGAAATAAAACTAACCTTGCATCACATGAATCGTTCCATGTTGAGGGAGTATTTTCTCATATATCAGTCCGCCGCTGCCAGACTTTCTATCAGGAAATACAACTCACTACTGCTGCTCAGACATAAATCCTTCAAATACAAGGTTGATTTTACTTCTAAAATTATTCTAACGACACAGAAATTTTCAGTAATGGCTCCTATATCTGATACCTGTATTGTATCGGTGCAACCCTAATAGAAAACACCTTCTAACTGCTGCTTAATTGTAACGGAACTGTCATTCACATGGAAAGGAATATTCATTAAATTAAAGAATTGATTATCTAGACAAAGATTTTATTTTATTTTTATTTTTTATTTAGATTATAAGGACTAATATGGAACAACAGCAGAAAGTTAGTGTGTCAGCTAAAGAGTTGCCATTTTTGGTATTTGCCTGTAAAAAGTCAGATTAACTCACAAGATTCACAAGTTTAATCTGTCTTTACACAGAAAAGGGAAACAATGCATTTATATAAATAGTTACATTTTACCGCAGTCACAAGACACAACTGTATGGGAAGCCATGCAGTTGTGTCTTGTGACTGCAGTTTGGGTTAGATACATTACAGGGATACGTAATAGTTTTGAGAGCTTTTGCCATGGCCACTTTTTAGACAACTAATTGATCTGCAGGGCATGTTTTTAGTCTTCTACAGCCCTAGTTTACAGCAATGTTGTACCATAAAGGAGCAGGTAGAAATCACTCCACAGCTGGCTTGTATTTTAATTAAGTTGTTTTAGATTTAAGAGGTGGCATTATGCAAAATCAACTTTCTATGATGATATAATATTGTTCCCTCATCAAAAACATGCCTGAAGAGGTTTTTAATGTCTTCCATGCATGTCTTAGTAACTTAAAAGTACCTCCCAGGCCCAGTTAGCTATAATATTCTGTCCCATAAGCCTATTTCACCCTCACACACAACAGTTCTCCATAAATATACAAAAGCATGATACAAAATAATGCACTACCGCTTTACAAACCTGATATGATGGGTAATATTTTCATTAGAGGGATGTGCGTCAATTGTGTTGTGATAGCGCTTTGAAGGGGGAGTTACTAAGCAAGGAGAGGAGGGACTGAAAGTGTCAAAAACTAAAGTGAAATTTATAAAACATGTTAATACATTGTTTTCAGTAAATTTAGCATTTTCAAAACAATAAAAGATAACACGGTTTTTTAAATATGTTAGCAGTTAAAACGACATAGAAGTATTGTCTCTGTTATAATAGTCCACAGTTGTCTTAGATTATACCTACATAGCAGATGAATGAGTATAATATGACTTCTTTAAAGGTTCTATATTACACAAAAATGTTATAATGTTGTTACCTCATCAGAAACATACCTGGAGTTGTGTTTTGTTTCACGCACTGCTTGAGCAATTTCAGTGCTTGAGTAATTTATTATTAGTCTGTCTACATCTCCAACGTTCAAAATTGTGATGTCATGAAACATTTCGCGTTAGTTTTCGAGTTAACTGCCCCTTACATTTTGTTTAGTAGAGACTGGCATTTCCAGGTAAGGCAAGTTTATTTGTATAGCACAATTCGTACACGAAGTAATTCAAAGTACTTTACAGAATATGAAATACCTTAAAATCACAATACAAACAAATCAAAACATAAATAATGATCATAAAATTAAAATTAGAGAGAAGGGTGCAGAATGAAAACCTTTCAGTCATATGCACTGTTAAACAAAACAGTTTTGAGCCTGGATTTAAACAGCGTCACAGAAGAGTCTGTCTCACATGTTCAGGAAGACTGTTCCAGGTTTTAGCTGTATGAATATGAAACACCAACTCCCCTTGTTTAGTTCTGACTCTGGGCACCAGCAGGAGGACGGTCCCTGAGCTCCTCAGAGTGTGAGATGGTTCATATGACACTAACATGTCACAGATGGACTTTGGTGCTCGGCCGTGGAGAGACTTGTACACAAGCAGAGCTGCATTAAAGTCTATTCTCTGAGCCACAGGAAGCCAGTGCAGAGACCTGAGCACAGGACTTATGTGCTTGTACTTCCTAGTTTGAGTCAGGACCCGAGCTGCAGCATTCTGGATGTTCTGCAGCTGTCTCACAGTGAGCAGGCTGTTACAGTATCTAACCTACTGGAGACAAATGCATGGATAAGTCTCTCCAAGTCTGCTTTAGTCAGTAAACCTTTGATTTATGTTTTTAGGTGGTAAAAGTCTGCAGATGTTATTGATTTCTTGCCTGATTTGAAGGTTTTCAAGAGAGAGACTGAAGGTGACTGCTGACACTGTCCCTTTGTTTCTGTGGACCAAACACTATGACTTCAGTCTTGTCTGAGTTTAGCTGGAGAAAGTTGTTTTGTATCCACACCCTGACCTGTTGGATGCAGTGGCAGAGTGAGTCCACTGGTCCATAGTCCCCTGCTGCCAATGAGACGTAGATCTAAGTGTTGTCTGCATAGTTGTGGTAGGACACATTATTGCTGTGTATTAACTGGCATAACAGCAGCATGTAGAGACTGAACAAAAGGGGGCCCAGGATCGACCCCTGGGGCACCCCACAGTAGTTTATAAACCCAGTGGATTAGTACATGACTTCAGGTGTTTGAAACGATAACTCAGCCTAAATATGCAGGGTTTGTGTATTAAATGTGCTTGAATGAAACAACACAACTCCAGATCTGCTTTTATCGAAGAAACAGCACTACAACACAGATAAGAAAATAGCGCAGTGTGGACACTTTTAATAATACATTTTTCGTTTCTCCTGTGTCTGCCCAGGGGCCCCAATCCGTCCAAAGTCATCCAACAGCTCATGGCCCTGCGCACCGACCAACAGCTGTACATCTTCAACGCTCTCAAGGCCCATCTGATCGAGAAGGGCCTGCTCCCGGCTCTGGAGGAGGTCATCGCTTAAATCAAACCTCCCCCCACACACTTACCCGACCCTACCTTACCCATCCCTACCACACGAGGGCGCCATGATGACAGCAGGCCACGCTAAAAACACTCTAGCCTCGGGTCGAGCCATTTTCATTTGCATTTTGTTATGTGAACTCTTCCACCAGTGTTGTTTGTGAATTTTTACTGTACTGACACATTTCCATTCAAAACTTCTTAGATTATTTTTATTATTTTTATATCAGAGGTGGGTAGCAGTTACATATACTCAGTTACTTTTACTTGAGTAACGTTTTAAAGAAATTCTTCTTTTCTATCAGCATACTTTTACTCCTACTTGAGTAATATTTTCATCGAAGTACAGTACTCTTTTGGTTACTACAACTGACAAAAGCTTTAAGTTGACGACAATTTGAACATTTGTGTATTGTTTTTCTTTTTTTTCAAAATTTGTGCATTAACTTCAAATTAAAAATCAGATGTGAGGTCCAGATAGTTACTCTTACTCGAGTACTTTCTCCAAATATTTTTTTTATTCTTACTCGAGTTATTTCTTGGACCACTACTTTGTACATCTATCTTAAATAATTTGTAGTAATGTTACTCTCACTCGAGTACTATTTTTTTGGCTACCCACCTCTGTTTTTTTTTTTTTGACAAACACTGAATATATTACAGACTTTTGTCACCGGGTATCTACCTAAAAATGGCGTGTTTATTTTTATTTTGATTGTATATTTCTTTTAAAAGCACTGCTCTGCCAACCTGCTGTTACCCAGATGTGCCGCCAACGTTACCTTTTAAGTTACTAAGATGTGATTCTTTATATTTATACATAGATGGTTTTATATGGGCTACTATTACGTGTATCTTAAATGTCTGCGTGTGATCTGTGTCTTATGTGTGTTCCGCGTTACCTTTCATTCTGTACGTTTTCGCCGCCATTTCGTTATTACAGCCAAATTTGGTCGCGCTTACTTCCTCGCCAAATACAAAACCTGGTGAATATGATTATTATTTTCGGTTATTGTACAAAGTGTAATGCTGTCCCTAGTTTATGTCAATGTTTTATTTATTTTCTCAAATCCTTAAAGGTGCACCGTGTAGCTTTTCTGCTTGTGTCCATGGAGATGTCATTGCTTTTACAGGAATGTTCCACAGTATGGCATTATCTATCTTAGAAATGCATTTATTCACTTACAGGTGTTTGTATTGTAAAAAAAAAAAACTTAAACATTTTATTTCTTACCTTTGCTGGATTCAGTTGCTTGTCTCCGTAGCGATTTATCTGTTTCAGGTTATACTCTGGAATGTTCCACAGTATGGCATTATCTATCTAGGCAATGCATATGTTAAATTACAGGTGTTTGTATTGCAAAAAGATATTGAAAAACGTATTTTTTACCTGTAATTTGACCTGGCTTCGGCCTCTTGCCTTGTCTCCATGGCGATAGATCAGTTTAATGTCTTATTATGGAATGTCCCACAGTATGACATTATCTGTTTTGCACTGCATATATTCAGTTACAGGTGTTTGTATTGCTAAAAAATTATTTCTTACCTGTAACTTTGCTGCTTTCAGTTGCTTGTCTCCATAGCGATTTATCTTCTATCTATTTAAGGTCATACTCTGGAATGTTCCACAGTATGGCATTATGTATCGTGCAATGCATGTATTCAATTACAGGTGTTTGTATTGCTAAAAAAAACCCTGAAAAACATTATTTATTACCTGTAATTTGACCTGGCTTCAGCCTCTTGTCTCCATGGTGATAGATCAGTGTAATGTCATACTACGGAATGTTCCACAGTATGACATTATCTGTTTTGCATTGCATATATTCAGTGACAGATATTTGTATTGCAAAAAATACCTTGAAAAACTTATTTTTTACCTGTAATTTGACCTGGCTTCAGCCTCTTGCCTTGTCTCCATGGTGATAGATTAGTTTAATGTCTTACTATGGAATGTTCCACAGTATGACATTATGTATCTTTCATTCATTCATTTACATGTGTTTGTATTGCAAAAAATACATTCACAAACATACTTACTTTCTTACATGTAACATGACCTGGCTTCAGATTCTTGTCTCCATGGCGATAGATCAGTTTAATGTCTTCACTGTGGAACATTCCAGTCTTGCATGTATTCAGTTACAGATGTTTGTTTGTATTTGAATGTATTTTAAGCAGTATGTTCTTTCTAACTTGTAACTTGACCTAGTTTCAGATCCTTGTCTCCATGGCGATAGTTTAGTTTAACGTCATAGTGTGGTCTATTCTACAGCAGAAAAGTTACTCAGTGCACCTTTACACCTTTTAATATACCCTCCATATGGATTTTGTCACTGCCAACCAGATAGATGACAATCAAGGGGTAGTCACTGTAAAAAAAAAAAAAAAAGAAGCTATACACATTTTTTAGTTGAGTATATTCAAGACCAGTGTTAATCTTACCAGGTGAAGTATAGAAGGTAAAACTCGTTGGGTTAACAGTATTCAGTTCAAGCTGTTGTAAATTAATTTCTGGAGTAACCTTATTTGCTATTTGTTGTGTTAAAGATTTAATATTAACTGCTATGACCAAAAGCTTTCTTGTTGCAGTAATTTATTTCAAATTCTATACAAACTGCTGTTGTCCTGTTATTTTCAATGTACATTATTAGTCACTGATTGGCAGAGGTGGGTAGTTACATTTACTTGAATAACTTTTTAAAGAAATGGGCTCTATTCACACTTGCGTCACAACACCGGAGGATGCTTGGAAACATGCAGATGATGACCTCCTTTGGGCTTTGTTGGCGAGAGTAACTCTGATAAAATCTTTATAGGGTTCCCACTCTTTTTCACTGACAAAATTTCAAAACTTTTCTATGACTTTTTCATGACCTAAAGTGAATTTTCCATGACTTTACGGCGCCTACATGTGAAGAAATGATCAGACTTTTAGGGCTAAATATGAAATGTTAAGTCTTTCTACTCACTTTATGGTTTGGGATTATAGTTTTTTAACATTCAAAATACTGTCAGTACATTTATCGTTGATAATACCCTAATGATAACTTACTTAACAAAATGCTGTAGTTGTGTAACCAGGCTGGCGCCACCTAGAAATTTCATTTCTCTCCAGCGACTAGGTCAAGAATCAAAATACACTAGATAGTTCACAAAAACCCCAGAAGTGCAAGTTCGGGCACCAGCCAATCAGCGAAGAGTCATATATTCTCTGTTGGCAACGATTCCCAAGATCGAGGATTTAAAGCCGGAATAAAGAGAATGTTTGGTGAATTTCATCAAGGGGAAAGACGTTATTGTCCTTCTTCCTACGGGATTTGGGAAAAGTTTAATATACTAGTTATCCCCGTTAGCAGGCGCATTACATACATCACAACCAAATAGCAGCGATTGGTTAAATGAAAAAAAGTACCCACCTACTGTCAAGCAAACGAAATCTAAGGCTGCGAGGTCAGACTATTTGTACAAAGTGAAATGAAGTAAAACCGTCTGATGAATCAGGCTAGTGGTTATGTGAAAGAATTACTAAAATTCCATGACTTTTCCAAAACTATAATTGAATTTACAAAATTCCATTCTAGATGTCATTGTATTCTTTCTTTTTTCCTTTTATAAATTGCCTATTAATTTGTGTAACTACACCAGAAGTCACCATCCGCATGTCTCCAAACGTCTTCTGGTAAACTTGAATCGAGCCTATTGTACTTTTCCTGAAGCATACTTTTACTCCTACTTGAGTAATATTTAGTTTGAAGTAACAGTATTCTTATTTGAGTAAAAGTTTTGGCGAGTCTACAAGTGACAAACGTTTTTATGTTGACAATACGAAATGATTTGAACATTTGTGTTTCTTGCAGCTCTTCAGATATAATGTAGTCTGAAAATACCAGATTTCATCCAGTAACTTTATTATAAGACAGGCATTTACTCTTTAAGTTACTCTTACTTGAGTAGTTTTACCAAATATTTTCTTTTACTCTAACTTGAATCATTTTTTGGACCACTACTTTGTACTTCTACTTGAGTCGTATTATTTTGAAGTAAGATTTTGGCTTCTTTACCCACCTCTACTGATTAGCTGCAATGTGTAACACAGTGCATCATAAAGCCAAAATAGGTTAATAACTGACTTTTTTTTTCCTTTTTTCAAAATCTTTTATTTTTAAGTAGGGGTGGGACGAGTTACAGTTTTGATGAGATGAAACACAACATGAGATTGGGTCCACGAGAATGAGACAAGATGAGATTTTGACATCATTTGTAATAAATAAATAGCGAACAGAGAAAAACACCGCACACCGTTCTACTTGCCCTATTTGCCTGATGAAGGCCTAGTGCAGAAATGTTGTTGATGTCTTGATTTAATTTGCAATTTGCAAGTAGAACGGTGTGCGGGATTCCTCTCTGTTCATGTTTTTGGGCTGCTCTCTCTCCTCCAACGCACTGGTTTCAAGAAACTCGTGTGAAGTTCTCATTCTTTTATAATAAATAGGGCCAATCCATTTCGCAATATTGGTGTCACTCTTTTTTTTTATTTTATGTAATACTTTAGCTGACATTGTAGTACTACTTTTTGGAACTAGAGCTATTCCAATTGTATAACTCACCAGCTTTTAACTCTTTTTTTTTCATTCAAGCCAGAGGTAAATTCAGGGAAAAAATCTTGCAAGGTATTTTTTCTCATGTGCAGTTTTGTCTCGGGAGCTCTTGTGGATCAAAATCTTGTCCCATCCCTGCTTTTAAGGCAAAGCGAGAAAAAAATTTGGTTTTACTTGCATGTGGTCGTAATAATAACAATAATATTTTAAATGAATATTATTATTTTATGGGTTAAAAAGTTGTGTTTAACGGTGTAACTTTTTGGTTAGGGATCCGTCACCTGCTTGTTTCTCTGGAGATGTCGTTGCTCTGCCTGGAATGTTCCACAGTATGACATTAAACAGCTCTAACAGGCACTCTGACTGTAATTTGGTCTGGTTTAGTAGAAATGTTTAATATCGTAATGTGAAAAAACATTCCAGACAAAGCAACAACGTCTCCGTGAAAGAGAAAAGCTTTTGACGGACCCTCCACCGGAAAAGTTACACAAAGCGCCTTTAAAATAGCATAAAATGTAAAGGTGCTCTATGGAATTTTTCTGGTGGAGGGTCTACCACGAGCATTTGGTCATAATAATAATAATAATAATAATAATAATAATAATAATAATAATAATAATACTATAACAGCAAATCCATACTAAAACTTAGGGCTAGTCTTGTCTCAACTATGAAACATTTTGAAGAGCAGGCCGACTTATATCAGGACTAACGCATGAAATTATTTAGTTTTACACGTTCAAATCCTAAATATTTATATATATTTTTTAAATTTAAGTATTTGGACATCAGGACAGCCAGCCTCTATCAAACTAGGATTCTGTATTTTTCTTAAACACGTCACATATTTGAAAAAAAAAAAAACGACCGTGATCCATTTATCCCGTCTTCGTTTTTGTGTCACGTGTCTTAATCTTAAAAAGTGCACTGTGGAACTTTTCCGGGTGGATGGTCACCATGGAGATGTTATTGCTTTGCCTGGAATGTTCCAACTTACTGTATATAAACATCTAAGATCAAGCATTTGTTCAGTTGCACAATTACGTTTTTCGCTCGCCTCCACGCAGACCAGACCTGTACCTTGGCCTAGTGCTGTCGTCGGTTTGTTTACATGGAAATAGACGCGTTAAATGCCGTACTGTGGGGCTTTCTGGGCAAAGCGGTGACATCTGAGACAAGCACCTTCAAGACCCCAGACACACCTATAAAAAAGTTACACAGTGTAGCTTTAATATGATATTTTGTTGATAAAAGTCTGTAGATTCTAGAGATACACAGTTATTAGATGGTCCACAGTTTGGAGTAGTAAACAGGAGCAAATTATAACAGTAATTATTAATACTTACCAATTTTAATGGATTAAATAGTTGTGTTAAAGGTGCACTGTGTAACTTTTTGGTTGGGGGTTCCGTCACCTGCTTGTTTCTATGGATACGTCATTGCTCTGCCTGGAATGTTTTTCAGTATGACGCAGCTCGACCTTACATTTATTCAATTACAGGTGGTTTTATAGCTCAAAAATAGCTAGAAAAACAGGCGTTCTGACTGTGAGCGGGCTCGCCTCTCCACAGATCTGACCTGTCACTTGGCCTGTTTTGGTCTCCATGATGATAGAAAGGTTTAATACCATACTGTGAAACATTCCAAAGCAACATCGTCTCCACCCGCTACTAGAAAAGTTACACAATGCACCGTTAAAATAGCATCAAATATAAAGGTGATCTATGGAACTTTTCAGGTGGATTGTCTCTACTTGTCTCCTAGGAGATGTAACTGCTTGGCATGTAGTGTTCCACAGTATGACATCAATTTTTTCTTGCATTTAGACCCCATTTACACTGAAACAAATCCGCGTATCACTGTATCGGAAATGATTTGCGTCCAGACACGTCGTTTCTGTGTCCGCAATCCTTCCCTATCCACACAGCTTTGAGTATATGTGTTTATGTCTTACAGAAACTAAACTTAAAACTGCATGGCTAATTTGCATAAACTGAGCGCTCAAAACAGCTCGCTATTGTGTGCTAATGCAGTTCAGCTTCTGTCAGACTAAAGGACACGACTTAGTGGAATATATGTGTTCTTTCTGTGACAGAGGGGTGTTCTGCTGATGATGAGTCTGTTCTGTGCTTCTATCGCGTTGGAGATGGTTCATGTGAAACTGTAGAGATTATACATCTGCAGGTCGTACACATAGACCGCTAGCCTTTTAGTGTTTTGGCTGTGAATGAGCTACTTCGCGGCGCATAGATCTACATCAGAGTATCAGTGTTTTCAGGCGTCCACACGGTGCTGGATCAGATCTGTACTCAGATGAATTCGTGGGAGCTCGCGGCACCAGATCGTTCCATCTCTGGAGCCGTTTTCAATCAGACTAATGTGGACACTGCATCCACAATGAAAACGATTAGAATATGTACTAGTGTGGATGGGGCCTTAGTGAATTAAAGGTCTTTCTGTTGCTAAAAAGAAACCTTAAAAACATGTATTATTACTAACTTTACTTCTCCACAAGTCCATCTTACTTGTAACTTAGCCTTGTGGTGTCACTTATTTGGGGATATGATGTGAAGAAGCAATAGCATCTCCATGGAGACAAGCACTCCACCAGGAAAGTTCCACAGTTCACCTTTAAAGAGCCCATATTACTCTGTTTTCTGATCTATGTTATAATGTTGTTTCCACATCACAAACAGAACTAGAGTTGTGTTTTGCTTCATTCACACGCTCCATATTTAGGCTGTATTTTTCTCTCAAACTGAAAACACTCTGTTCTACTTTGTGATGTCATGTGGTAATACAGGAAGTGCTCTAATGTGTTGTTAAACTCCATACACCTTCACTAGAATCACGTGGATGGTTTCAGCCCATTTCTACTGAACAGACGTTTTTTTTTTTTTAGATTAGTTTAGTTTATTGTACTTATTTAGTGTCATGCACCATTTAGTTGGTGTCCAGCCCGCATGGACTTATAAGACACATAAAACAATAAGCAGACAGATCACACATCAAACATAAAGTGTCCTTTTACGGAGGTCCCAGGCTTTCAACACAAACTGAGCCAACTTAAAAACATTACATTTAAAAAGATACTTCAGTCTCTCCTCATCAGACATAACAAACCAACAGTAAGACACATTAGACACAACTGACAGCACAGGTCATGATACAAAGGACAGTAAAACAGAAAATGCATTTCATTTTCAATGTCCTTTAAGTCACACGGAGCACAAGTGCGCTCCTCCTCTGGGACTGAGTGGAATCGTCCTGTCTCCGAGGCCAGAGGCAGAGTCCCACACCTCAACTGGGCACATACTGACCTCTGACCTCTACTCAGGTTCAGAGTGACATATGGCTCAGGTCCAAAACAGTCTTTAAGATATATGTTTTTCATTATGTTTACATAAAATTTCATTGTGCCACTTTTGTTTATGCTTATCAAAGTAAATGTTCCTCGCTTGTCTGACACTACAGATTAACTTGTAAACTGTAAACTTGTAAACTGGTGAAATGTGGCTGTTAACTTGAAAACTACCTCTTCGTGACATCATAAGGTGGAACAGAGCATTTTGAGCTTTGGAGATGTAGACAGACTCATAACGCAGGATCACTCAAACATGTGAATGAAACAAAACACAACTCCAGGTATATTTTTGATGAGATAACAACATTCTAACACGACTTAAAGCTCACAAGAGACTATTTTGCGTAATATAGGACTTTTAACGTTATATGGTTGATTATAGAATGTAGTAACTAAGCGTCTGTCTACTTCTCCAAACGAATACATACATTATAACTGATCATCCATTTAAAGTATTTATTGACCTGTTCTTATATATATATTGTACATTTATACAGATGCTGAGTGTACTTTAGTTATATAGGGGTACACAGTACTCTGGTGTCATATAGGACACAGTATTGCAGTATTTCCTGTTCAGAGCTGATGTTCTAATTCTTGAGAAGTCCTGTACAGTATATGATGAGTCGTGTTTAGTAGATTTTGACGTAGGCCTTTCATATCTATTGGTTTTATCCATAAAGCTCTTAACTGCCATTACAATATTTAGTGGTACAAGTTAGAAAGCCATTTTAAAAGGTGCACTGTGTAACTTTTCTGGTGGAGGGGCCGTCACCTGCTTGTTTCTATGGAGATGTCATTGCTCTGTCTGGCATTAAACAGCTCTACTTTACATTTATTCAATTACAGCTGGTTTTATAGCTCAAAAATACACAGAAAAGCAACATTTTGGGTCACCTCTCCACAGATCTGACCCGTAATTTTGTCTAGTTTGGTGTCCATGAAGATAGAAAGGTTTAAAGCCAGACTGTGAAACATCCCAGACAAAGCAATAACCAGATCTCCAAAAAAAACATTTGACGGATCCTCTGCTAGAAAAGTTACACAATGCACCTTTAACTTTTCTCATCATAAGTATATTTATTTCAATAAGTGAAGTAGCTTACTTCCCTGTCCTGTTAGTGTAAACGCTAGATTAGTTTGCTGTCACCATGATACATTTACGTGGAAGTGTGAAGTGAAATTTTGAAAAGCCTGTCACGAAAATTACCACAGCAACTTATTCTTCAATATGATTAAAATATACACAACACATTTTTTTATTTATTTATTTATTTATATATATTTTATGTATTTTTTTCTTACATTTTATAATATTTCCACATTTTTTCTTTCTTCTTCTTTTTTTTTTTTTTTTTATTGAAAAGCATTTCCTCCTAAAACAACTGCCACCTGTTACAAAAAATGACTACCGCAACTTATTCTGCCCTACAAAGACAAAACGCAGTATCATGTTTGGTCAAAAATGAGTTCATGTCATTTTGTTTGTATTTGAGACCTGCTTGATCATGTGAAGAAATATCATAAAAAATATTAAGCTCAGAATTGACCTCTGAACAGGCAGTAACACACGGACACTGTTACTGCCTTTTGCCTTTACAAGACTTGTTATTTTTGGCTCATGATACAAAGGCAGAGAACAGGAACTGACAAATAAAGGTCAAGTTTGAGCTCAGTGTCTTTCATGTAAATATTTCTTAAAATGTCCTGTTATACTTTTGTCTGACACTGAAGTGATTTTTCTCAGTTTCACACTCTGAGTGTGAGTTAAGCTCTTTTGCTTTTGTAGGGCAGTGTTGTCAAGTAGTATTAAAAGACACACAACAGATTTTTAATATATGTATTATCTTTTTTTTTTCTTAATTTTTGTAACATCTTTTTTATCTTAAATTGAAAAACTGCTGCCGACTACTGCTGAAAATTACTACAGCAACTTTTAATTTCTTTGTCTTTTTTTCTTAATTTTAACATTTGCATTTATTTTTATTTATTTATTTTTTTTTAACGTTTTCTGCTAAAACAACTGCCAATATTATGATTTTATAATTTATTCATTTATTGCAATACGGTCTGATTTTTATCTTACCCTCCAAAAACGCTGGGTTTAACATTCATCCGTCCAACTTGCCTCCAAATAAAAACCAAAACATATTTAATGTTAAGTACAGACATGTTAAAAATGGCTACTTCTGACCACTAGATGGAGCTGTGGTTCTTGTGGTTTAACACTGACAATAAACTGTCAGTATAAAGTACAAAACATTCCCTATTATTCTATTATTACTAGTATTTGGCATCGTCTGCTGTGCCATTTCGTACCACTTTGAAACGTGTGAGGAATGTAGCTCTATGGGAGTTAGTGAGCACCCCAGATTATGTATAGAAACTCCAATGGTAAGTTTTTTGCCTTTAAAAGTGTATGATTTCAGTATTTTAATCAAACTGTGCAGTTGTTTGTGTTCTATTAAGAGAAAATTGTACTATTGACGCTACAACGTGCTTCTTCGCTTTATGGTTTGAAATAAATGATTCAAAAATGATCATGGGGTTCTGTGTCTGATGCTGTCTTTCCTCTTTTGGCACAACTTCTCTATTTTACAAACAATAGACGTTGCAAAAGCGGTGTGGCGTGTGTTATTTAAGTGCAGCCTAGTTAGTGGAGGGACTACTTTTTTTTGCTTAAGGTACAGTTTTACGCACAGGCCCGATCTGGCTCTAGTTTATTTCCTGCGCCTGTCGCTCACCAACTGTAGGAGTTTTTACCCACGAGGTGATTTCCTTTTTAGTAGATTTTGTGGTTTCTCAAATTCGTGAGAAACCAATTGTCTTTTGCGACCTTTACGCACGGAAAAATCAGATTTTAAGTTACTGAAGAGCTCGGACATTCAAATATAAAAGTAAAAGCGGAATGGTGATGAACGCAGTCTAAGAATACATAAAGAAGAACAAAAAAAGAAGAAATGTGACCGTGCACAGGAAGTAGGAAGTGTGTTTGCGCTGTGTGCAGTTACAGCGCGATTAACCTGTGCGCGTCGGGTACCGGGGCCCGTGAACGAGGCGCGGATTTGACCATTTGACCCATGCGTTTACGAGCTGCGAAGATGTCCTTAAAACTACCTCGAAACTGGGACTTCAGCACTTTCAAGGAGACATCACGGATAGGTAACACACTTTGAACCACAAGCTTCATTTATATTAGTATTTTTATTTTATTTTATTTTTAATTTTTTTAATTTATCAGTTAAGGGTAGCCACTGGGGAACACTGACTGACAACATGTGTTGAATCTCGACTAAGTTTCGGTGGTTGGCTGCTTTGTGAAAACACTCTGACCACCGAGTTATTTTTAAGAGTTATTTTTTATGTCAACGTGCTTTTATACTTTGTACAAGTGTGGCAAGTGGGTTTGAAATGGGTTTGTATATATTGTGAAGAGGCCATCACCGTCTGTCGCTGTTAAAGGTGCATTTGTGTAACTTTTCCGGTGGAGGGCCCGTCAAATACTTCTCTCTATGTATATGTCTTTTATTTGACTAGAATGTTTCATAGTATGGCGTTAAACATTTCTATCTTCATGGAGACCAAACCAGACCGAGTTACAGGTCAGATGTGTGGAGTTTTTTTTTTTTTTTTTTTTTTTTTTAGATATTATTGAGTTATAAAAGCACCTGTGTTTTTGTATGAATGTAAGATAAAGCGGTTTAATGTCATACTGTGGAACATTCCAGGCAGAGCAATGACATATCCATAGAAATAAGCAGGTGACAAACCCCCAACCAAAAAGTAACACAGTGCACCATTAAATTGTAGTACTGGTCCGTAACAGGGACCAGTACTACAATTTACTTTATCTTTCACCGTCAAAGCACGGTGAAAGATAAAGTTTCAGATAACCTTGATTAGAACCCTACATTAGGTTTTAGTGTCTAAAAGATCATTTAGGAAGAAATTTGGAAGAATCCAAAGTATCCAACCTACTTTGATCCCAAAGGGGCCGGATCAGAAAACTCATGTCATATAAACCCCAAAAATAACAATAAGTTCAAATATTTGTGCAGAGAAACACAAATCTATTACAGAAATCTTTTATAATTGATGAACTCTTTCTTTTCCAAAATATTATAATATCATGAACAACCTGAAACTTTAAGAAAAATACAATTTCAACACAAAGTTTTAACATGAACTTGTATATAAATAGGAATAAGTACATTTTTGTTGGAAAATTCTGCACTCGGCTCCACTTTTCTCATTTTTGACATTTTGCTGATGAGGGTGTCACAGTCAACAGTCAAAACGATCGTCCTTTAAGAGCGTTTGGAAAGAGACAAGTCTTCATTTGTGCTGCTCTGGTGGGAGGGGCCACGCACAGAGACGCTGCTGTGATAAACACCACAGAAAATTAACAATATTTTTATAAAAAATAGAATTAAAATATTTTAGTAGAAAATCAGCCGAGGGCCAGATTAAAGGTCTTGGAGGGCCGGATCTGGCTCCCGGTCCGCATGTTTGACACCTGTGTTTTAGAGGTTGCTCAAGCTGCATGAAGTTACTGCATGAAGTTTTGAAGCTCCTGCAAATGATTTGGTATTTGGTAATGTTCAGAGGTTCCACCAAAGCGACGTGATGCCCTTAATCGAGCACATTATTAAGGGAAACAGCTCAGTGATTTCGTCTCCACCAGCACCATGTGTTTCTTTGAAGCTCCTGATCTGCCAAAAACATTTTGTACAATTCCCCAGCAGCAGACTAGACTGATGATGCAGACTTTCAGAAGGTGCTAAAACTGTGCATTCATGGAAAATGTCGATGATGTTGCTAAAAGGGGGTGAAGCATATTCAAGATTTTAACTGTAGCCAAACAAAGACTGAAGATCAGAAACACAATCTACTGCAGGAGTCAAAGACACAGCTTTTGTGATGCCAACAAACCACAGTGGAGCTGGATTTTCAAAGTCACTTTTTATGGACTTTATGCACTTTCTAAGCAACTTTTACGGACTTTCTAAGTTTTTTTTTTTGTTTTTTTTTGCAAGTTTCAGTTTATGTTTGCAGAATAAAATGACAAATTATTCAAATATGCCTTATTTATTTATTTTTTTAATAGTACAGGTCCTGTAGGGAAATTTTCAAGTGTCTTGAGCAACTCTAAATATTAACTAATTTGCATAACATTTGGATCAAAATATTTTGGTCAGATATGGAACCAAATGCAGGGTTCTAATCTAGAGAATCTAAAAAAAAATAAATAAAAAATTGGACCACTGTAGTGCCTTTAGCATACATATTACATACATAATTCACCACTAACTGGAGATATATTAATTACATGTTTACCTATGTTCAGTGTTTAGTTTTTGGGTTTGTGCTCTGTATGCAGTATAGTCGCGTTCCCTTTAAGACCCGTTGACGTTTGAGGCACGCTGTTCTGTTTACCGTTATTAGCCGTTTATAGCGAGTTGAGAGTTCAGTTAATAAAGCGACACACGATTTTTTGTGTCTAAAATGTGAAAAGTTGTCGGCTACTTTTTACTACGCATAACTTCCACACTGGTGACTCTGACGTTTGTTTGCTGGACGTATCCAGATCAACATGACCGCGAACGCAGTGTCCTTGAAACTCCCCGAATTCTGGGAATCGTCGGCTTCAGCGTGGTTCGCACAGACTGAGGCACAATTCGCCCTGCGGGAGATCACCACCGATGACACTAAATACTACTACGTGGTGTCCGCCCTCGGGAGCTCTACGGGATCGAGAGTTGTGAGCCTTCTTACACGCCCTCCTACAACGGGGAAATATGATGCACTGAAGGCTCATTTGCTAAAGACTTTCGAACTTTCTGATGCTGAGAGGGCCAGTAGGCTTTTCTCTCTTCAGGGGCTGGGCGACAGTAAGCCTTCAGAACTCATGGACCGAATGCTTGACCTGCTTGGTGAACACACACCTGATTTTCTCTTCCTCCACCTTTTCCTGCGTCAGCTGCCTTCTCAGGTGAGGGCTGCTATGGCCAACACCGCTATCACCGACTGCAGGGAACTGGCGGCAGAGGCTGATAAATTTTTCCTTGCCAGTCAGCAACACTGTGCAGCCGCGCTCCTTCCCGCTGGGACAGTTACAGACACGCAGGATGACCTCAGGGAGGGGCTGGTCGCAGCAGCAGCACCTTCTCGTCGGCAGCAGTCCTCCGGTTTATGGTTTTACCACGCCAAATTTGGCCCAAAGGCCACCCCATGCAGTTTCAGTGGATCGGGAAACGTCAGGGCCGGCGCTCATTAGAGACTGTGAGTGTCGGCCGTGCCGGCAGGCTGCTTTTTATCCGCGACTCCATCTCTGGGCGACGTTTCCTCTGTGATACGGGGGCACAGCGGAGCCTCCTGCCTGCATCGCAGCTGGACGTGGTAGCGGACAGCCACGGCCCCGTAATGGAAGCCGCCAATGGCAGCCCCATTCGCACGTATGGCACAAGATACGTTGAACTGTGTTTTGGAGGCCAACGATTTGGCTGGGAGTTTGTTATCGCAAAAGTTGCTGTTCCCCTCTTGGGTTCTGATTTTTTGTGTGCATATGGACTCTTAGTGGACGTGAAAAACCACCGCTTGATCGACGCAGTCACATTCTGTTCTTATGCATGACTCTGACTCAATACACTTTTCTAGCATGCTCCGTGTCACGGGCGGTTTCCAGCAGCTGCTCACCGAGTTCCCAGCACTCACACAGCCCACTTTCTCCTCTACTACTGCCAAACACGGTGTGGAGCACCACATTGCCACCACTGGTCCACCTGTGTATGCCCGCGCACGGCGCCTCGACCCGACCAAACTTGCTGTGGCCAAGGCAGAGTTCGAGACCATGGAGCGCCTTGGGATTGTTCGACGCTCCAACAGTCCCTGGGCTTTTCCTCTACACATCGTCCCCAAGCCTGGAGGTGGTTGGCGTCCTTGCGGGGATTATTGATGGCTCAACGATGTGACAACGTCTGATCGCTACCTAGTTCCACACATGCAGGATTTTTCAACGCACCTTGCTGGTAAGGTGATTTTTTCAAAGGTAGACTTAATCAGAGGATATCATCAGGTGCCTGTACATCCACTTGACATTCCCAAAAACGGCAGTGATCACACTTTTTGGCCTGTTTGAGTTCCTACGCACACTTTTTGGGCTTAAGAACGCAGCCCAAACTTTCCAGCGGCTCATGGACTCAGTGTTACGGGACCTCCCCTTTGTTTTTGTGTACCTTGATGACATCCTGGTAGCAAGTTTATCTTTTTCTGAGCACCTGTCACACCTTTGAACTCTTTTCGAGCGTCTTGGCCAGCATGGACTTATCATCAATCCAGCAAAGTGCCAGTTTGGTCTCTCCACCATTGACTTTCTGGGCCACAGAGTCACAAAG